CAAAATGTTTTGAATTTGCTTACAAAAAGAAAAAGAAAAAGTAAATAAAGAAAATTTATAGTTTGACAAAAGAAAAGGTGCCCATGTCATTCATGACGTCAGCAAGGAGCGTCTTACCTCCAATGGGTATATTTTTTTGTATAAATAGAAGTGTTTTGTGTGGAGAAAAATCAAGAACTTGAAGAGAAAAATTTATGTGTGCTCTAAAATTCTGAGTATATTGTATTATTGTAAGTGTAGCCTTTGTTCTTATACTTTCATATCTACTTTTTGTGAGAGAATTATTGTAAAAGAAGATTTAAGTACCACTTATTTTTATTCATTATTTTTGTGAGAGATTTTGTAAAGGTAAGACATTTATTGTTGAGTGAGACTCAATAGATAAGAGTAAATCGTGTGCCAAATCCACAAGCTTGGTTGTGTATTTATTTAATTGATAGTAAAGAAATTCTCAAGGAGGTTCCTTGGGGAGTAGACGTAGGCCTGGCATGCCGAACCACTATAAATCTCAGCGTTTGATTTTCTCTCCCTATTTTTTTTACTTTTATATTGATAATTATTATTCTATTTTTATTTTTTATTTGTTAAAATTCTGAATATTGTGTTAATTTTAATATTGTCAAATTTTTAATAACCCAATTCACCTCCCTCTTGGGTTGCCTACCTAGGATAACATACTTTAAGCCCAAATTAACTCTGTTCGTGCACAAATTAGCACAATATAATTCTATAAATATGCATATTAATATTTATGTTTTACATTTTTAACTTTATATTAAAAACATATATTATGTATTACTAATTATGTAAAGAATTAGTTATAAATTTGAATTACTACCCTTGTTTTTTAAAGAAGCACCTAAATGATTAATTTAATTATAATTTTTATTTTAAAATGTGAAAAAATATTTTTATTAAATAATATCTAGGTTATACAGATGGGCTTTGAATTTTTTATTTTATTTTTGAACAAGCTTAGAAATAAAGTATAACCCGATTCCCCACCTGACCAGGCTTAAGAAATGACTTAAAGTGTTATTATGTAGTATGAATTTGGCCCGAAACTACCCAAGCCCAACCTATGTCCACCCCTAGAACCACTATTCCACCCAATCACCACCACCACCACCACCACTACTACATTATCATCTCCACTATCACTGCACAATCACCACTGTCACCGCCACTATTGTAATAATTTGTACTCCTTGGACTGGTGGGATTGCTTTAGGCTCTCTTTTTATTGTAATTAAAGCCTTTTTGATTGACATTAGAGTACTGATTGAGATGGTACCATAATGATAAAGTAGGATTGAACCAAAAATATTTATTTGATTAATTGTCTCATGAGCAGTCTTCACTTTTTTACCTTTTCCTCTCTCCACACTTTGAATTTGGATGTGAGGCTAGAATCATTAAAAAGCTTGTTTCTGGGGCTTTGATTTAGACACAAGGACGATCCAAAACGGAGTTCGAATGACAGAGTTATACTCATTTAAAATTTGAGCACCTGAGTTGTGTACATAGTCCGCTCGAGCAAATTTTTGACCGCTCAAGCAGCCTGTTCAAGATTTTGAGATTCCGAGAGCTTGCTTTCACCGCTCGAGCGCATCTTTGACCCACTCGAGTGGCCTGTTCAAAGTTAGCATTTTAAATCCCCTTCTTGGCTAAATCTTTTTCACTTTCTTTCTTTTTTCTCTCATTTTTCTCTCCCTTTCCTCCATATCCAAAAACCCTAGACCTTCAAACCTTGATTCCATCAAATTTTCACCAAGAATCCACCTCTAATCTTGAGCTAAAAATGTAGAGCAAATGGAGATCAATATTTTGATCGATTGGATTGCGATTTCTTCGAAGTTTCTCTTTAGGCCTTCATCTTTTGCTCTCATCTTTGAGGTAAGGGTACTCTTAATTTAATATATGTATGGTTTGAGATGTGTATGTGATATTTTCTTAGTTATATGTGTATGAGATGATTATGTTGTAGTAAATGAGTTTTGATGCATTAAATGGTGTTTTACTCGAATTTTGAGGGATTTGGAATAACTCTTGATAATTATGGATGTTGATGATGTGTATTTTCTTTGGAAACATAAATGAGGAAAAAGCCTTAGGCTCTGTTTCGTTTAGTTTTTGAAATGGGTTTTGAGTTGTATTTTGAAATTGCATTTGGTAGAGTTTTAGAATTATGATTTGAGAATCGAGTTATATTTTGAGTTTGTGAGTTTTAGAATTATGATTTGAATGTGAAAAATTTATTTAGTTATGAGTTTTAAAAAGAGTTTGAATTGAGTGATACGACATATAATATTGAAAAGTAGGTGTGGAATTAATTTTCTAAAGCTATAACGAAACAACACACTCAGACTAAGGGGTAGAATTAAACTTCAAAAGCTCTACCAAACAGAAGTTTTATTTAATTGGACTTTATGAATATCGATTTTAAGTTATTTTTGAATTTGATATTGAAATGAAGGAAATTGGATATTGTTGAGAATTTGGAAATTGAAAATCTTTTAATTATTGGCTATGTTAATCCTTATTGAAGCATTGAATGAACCATTGGTAAATTGATACATTTACAAACTCATACGTCATGTTGCATTTTTCATGATTTTGGTTCCATGATTTTCACAATCTCTTAGATACTTGGAATTGTTGAAAGGGGGTAAATAGCGTGAGTCCAGGTAGTTGAGTCGGGTTTTGGAAATGAGATAAGTATTGTATTGGTATCCTCACAGGGAGTCAAGGTGCCCAATTTCCCTATCTTGAGCTTATCACTAGACGAATATGGAAAAATATTTTTGAGTGTCCATTGGTCCCGTTGTTTCAAGAGTCAGCAAATGTAGAAAAATAATATTTTTGGATGTCCACTGGCCCTACTGTTTTTAGAGTCGGTGAATGTAGAAGGGCAAAAGGTTTTTAGATGCCTATCGTCTCGCCATTTTTAGAGTTGGCAAATGTGGAGATATTCTCAGTATATAAATCTATACATGTATATATGGTTTTACGACTCTTGCTTGGAATGTCATTGCATATTTATCGCCCTGTTATTGATGATGAGTTTTCGAATGGAAATGGTACATTGAACATCACTGATTTTCGTAAAAGAGAAAAATATGGATTTTATCATGGCATGTGCATAGCATAATCGAGATCAGGGTCACTGCTGTCCGGCTTGCACAGCAATGACTGTTGTGCGGCTCATGAGAATTATTTCGGACTTTATTTTCATCATCTGAACCGTTCAATTTTTAAAGAATATCGAGTGGAACATACCTATAAAAAATTAAGTTGATCGAATATCGATAGACCCTTTATCAACTCGAATTTGTAAATATAAAAAAATAAATATATAAGTATTAAACTGAATACAAATGTGAGTTGATAAATGGTCTGTTGATATCAGATCAACTTAATTTCTTACAGGTATGTTCTACTTAATGTTAGTTAAAAATTGAACGGTTTGAATTATCAAAGTCAGTCTGAAATAATTCCCACATGTCGCACAACAGTCACTGTTGTGCAAGCCGCACAGCAATGACTCCAACTCCAACATAATCATACGCATTTCAATTATTTATATACTCTATTAATGGTATTCCTACTCGGTACTAACTCACCACAATCTAACAAAATTTTTAGGTCTTAATGATATGATTCCACTCCACTAGTGATCTTTTGGAGACTTTTAATGGAGTGTTGAAGCTCCTTGGATGTTTATGTGATTACAGTTATCGAACGTACTTGTTTGGAAAACTATTCTACTTATTTGTAATCAGGGCTCTCAGCTTGAAAGTTGTAAACCCATAGGATATTTTTGTTGTAGTTTTCTCTTATTTTTCAAATTTCATATGTATTGTTAAATTCTTAAATCTCACAGTTATAGTATATGAATATAAGCTCTTATGAGAAATTTAATGAGAAAATGGTATACTTAATAAAAGACCATGTTTTCTCTAATGCTTTTCGGTAGTACTACATGCACCAATTAATGTACTTACTAGTGTACCAACTCTAGTTATAACATTATTATTGACCACACTCATTATACAAATTACAAATATCAAAAATTTCTTAAATTATGTCACATCATCAATTGATACACTAGTTAGTACACTAATTGGTGTATATAGCTAATCAAGTAGAAAAAATATTTCAATGTTCTTCATTTATTTATTTCTAAAAAAAAATTTGTAAAAATGTTAATTCCAAAAATATGATTTTCACCTAAACAAACAAACCCCTATGATAATTGCATTGGAAACTTGTATCAAAATTTGTTTTCATCTTCAATCACAACAATAAATAAAAGTAAAAATAAAAATTCTACTTTCATCTTGATTGGGGTTCAGCGTAGGGGATAACTATAGAAACATTACGATTGGAACAAAAAATTCACACCAAAAAAATAAAGAAAGAAAACCATGTATGTGATATTTTCACCATCTCACTGCATTTTCTAGTGCATTTTTAGGGCTTTTGGTTGGTTCACCTTAGCTACGTACACCTGCGGTGAACTATACTATAAGATTCATAACCTTTGTTGCTTATTCAAAAAAATGAATTGGAAAAAGAAAAAAAAATGATGCGCAAAACAAAATTCAAGCCAAAAACATGTTCAGTTTGAATTGGACAAGTCAGTTTTGATTTGAAAATCACTGTTCTTACGGAATATAACTGGCAAGGAGATCCCTACTGTTGTGCGTTACTGTGCAATGACCCAAGATGAGTCCCACAAACATGTAGACAATGTTTGGATAAAAGAAATCAAAGAAAAACAACGAAATTTTTATTATCAATAATCAAATTACTAAGAACAAAATTCAAGTGCCAATATTATTCAAGCGTTCGGCTTGGTTAGAACTTTTCATGAAAAATGATAAGATTTTAAATATTATGGACACATTTATCTTTTCAAATCTTATGAGATCCATACGAAAGAGGGTGGGGATCAAATTCTAGCTCTCAGTCTGAGACATCGGTATCTAGCCGGAGTAGATAATCAAGAATCATGTTCCTATTTAAGTAATCAGGAATCATTTACCTCAAAACCAAAGTCTAAATCTGTCTAAAGGACAAAACTAGATGCTATCATTTAAAAAATATGTAAGACACTGCATATATATACATAGAGCAAGTATATCTGTACTCTTTTCTATACATGACAGTATGATGCTGATACAAAGTAGAAGATCCAATAAATAAAATTAACCAAAAAGAAAAGAAAATAGGCTATGGAAAACCTGCTAGACAAAACTTGAAAATGAATACTACTTGTCATCATTGCTGTTGCAGCCACTCCTGGATTGCAGCACGGAGAGCGCGGTTGGGCACAAGATTGCAGTGTGGCAGCTTGTGATCTGTCATTGGTGAAGTGTCAAGACCACTGTCGAGCCATCCTCTCAAAGCCTCCAATTCATACGTATATCCATCAGCTGCCACATGAGGATCTTGCATGATTTCCTGCAAGAGTTCAAAGACAACAAAACAAACATCTTTTAACCATCACATCATCAACCCAGAAAAGCACGTCTGAATACTTCATCAGAATGATATGATCATATATATACACAGCACTGCAGCCAAGAAATTAATTCAGAGGGGACATTTAAATAGATACAAATATATAGAATTTTCAAATGCACAAACATACAAAGGTAGAAGTTATTTACCCAATTAGGCTAATTTGCTATCCATATTGTATGATTTAAGTGTCTACAAATTTTGCTGAACATGCATAAATGTGTATAGATTCACAGAAAAATGCTACAATGTGCCCTTACACATTGTGAGAGAAGATATGATTTTTGTGATGAAAGTTACAAATTTTTTGTGATGAAAGTAACGAACTTTATGATGAAAGTTATGAATCGTGAAATTATAATGTGCAGCTAAAAGTTATGTATGACTTAAGTCCTACTTTTTATGATAAAAGTGATGCTTTTTGTAAGAATAAAAAAGTCATATTTTTTGTGAAGAAAAAAGTTGTTCTTTTTGTGACAAAAGGTAAACATTTTGTAATAAAAGTTAAATTTTTTCATAAGGTGCATACCGTATGCACCCCAAGAAAAGTGCACATAGTAGCTTTTCCCTAGATTCACACTTACATTTTCGGAACAATTCAACGTAAGAATAAAAAAGTCATTTTTTGTGAAGAAAAAAGTTGTTCTTTTTGTGACAAAAGGTAAACATTTTGTAATAAAAGTTAAATTTTTTCATAAGGTGCATACCGTATGCACCCCAAGAAAAGTGCACATAGTAGCTTTTCCCTAGATTCACACTTACATTTTCGGAACAATTCAACACCTAGCCATAACCAATCAAAATTTCTTCTAATTTATAGTGGTATAGGAAAAAATGAGGCAGGGTAAAGAAAAATGAAAGAAATTGAGCAAAGAGTAAAGAAGTCCTACATATATAGAAGGTGAAATATATAAGGAACTTCATAGCTAAATAAATAAATAAATAAAATAGAATTATTAAAATACAAGGGTTTTGTTGAAAAAAAAAAGGTTTTCAGAAACAAGGACATATATATAATTTTAAAGGGGGGCAAATTGAAATATATTTACAAAACTATAGCTAAAAGTGTAACTTTAAAAAAAATGAGGGGCACTTGACCCTCCAAGGCCCATACTGGCTCCGCTAGTATAGGGTGATTCTATTTTCACACCACAATTTATCTCAGTACACACTATTTGTGTCGTTCAGACACCAACTCTCGAACAAAATACAAATATTTGGATATCTACTTCCGAATAAAATACAAATGTTCGGATATCAACTATTGAACGAGATTTTTGTTCGAATAATTGGTTTTTGTTTGTTTAGAAGTTGATATCCGAACAACACAAATGGTATGTACTGAGATAAGTATGGTGCGCGAATAGAATTCTCCACTAGTATATATATTAGTGGTTGACAAAATTAGGGAATTCCATTAATTAGCCAGCAAAATATCAAGAATTTTTTTTAATCATGGAATGAGAATCATGATAAAGCTGTCAGTGATAAAAGAAGTAACTTGCAAATTGTTGTCAGTGATAAAGCTGATGTTGGGTTATGTAAACTAAAAGAAGTAATTTGAAAATTTTCCAAATAAACAAATAAATGAAGAAGCAATGGACATAACATACCTGAAAAATGGGACAAATAAAATATGGCGGAATCTGGGAATGCTCTTCGGAGCTCATCCGGAACGATGATGCTCCACACGAAGCCCTCATTGGTTCAAGAACCCTCCACACATCCAAGGTGATGTCTGGCCGGTTCGTACGGTTCCTCTCACAACACCTCATTGCCAAGTGAGTCAATTGTTTCGCTTTCACAAATGGCCAGTCCCCAGCTGTAGGATCTAACAGTTCTTTCAAATTCCCTTTATCTAATGCACATTGCACTTTGTTGATTATCCCCAAGGCTGTTCTTCCAGTCAACAACCTCAATAATATGATTCCAAAAGAATAGACATCTGACTTTGGGGTAAGCTCTCCTGTTGCAAGAAATTCAGGATCCATGTATGCAAACGTGCCCTTTGGGTCAGTTCTGCAACATGCGGTCGCATTATTGTTTGAGAATTCATTTTGGGAAATCACACGGCATATTCCAAAGTCACTGAGTTTGCTCACGTTGTTGGCATCTAGAAGAATATTGGCAGGTTTCAGATCACTATGTACTATTTTATTGGGACTACAAGAATGAAGGAAGATAAGAACAGAACACAGCTCTGTTGCAATACGGATTCGAGTTTGCCAGGACAGTGGGGGAGTGTTGTCTCTGCAGCTCAGTCTGTCTTCGAGGCTTCCATTAGGTAGATATTCGTATACAAGAATCCAAGCTTCTGGGCAGGCTCCAATGAGAGTTACAAGGTTTGGGTGCCTCAATTTAGTCAAAATATTGACCTAAATAAAATCAATAGACACCAAGGAAAAATTCAGATACTTACCAAATTGTCTAAAAACTATAGAGTAATAGATACAACTACGACATGCAAACATCTAGACAGAATATGCCGAGAAAAATATTAGTGTGAAAGGCAGGATAAACCGTTTACTATTTGTGCACCCAAAACAATTCTCTTAGTTTCACTAGTTAATTTTCCCAGAATCTCAATACAGATCATTTAGTGTACAAAAAAAGATCCACCACAATAACATAAACAACATAAATCAAAATTTCTTTTGAAGAATGCATTGCCAGTGAAAATTTTCACAGAACATACAGAACTAACAATCTATAACTAGCAAGTTTTCCATCAGCAAAAAAATATATCTCTATATATAACTTGTAAGTTTTCATGCAAGACATGCCCTCCACATGATTTGTGAAGGTCCTTTGGCAAATGGTGAAACTGTGATCAGGTAAGGACACGAGTGGCAAACACGAGCAACTTTTTGAAGAGAAGAAGTAATACTATAATTTCAGGCAACATATATGCCCAATAAATCTACAACTTGGGATCTACTGGATTGTGAACCAATTAAAAGCCAGAAAATATTGAGTGATAACCCACAATTAGAGTTCCATTTGTTTAATTGAGTCATTGATCCCAATCATTCGATATAAGGTAATTTACTAAATGCACCACAGCCACAGGTCCACAACCACAAACAATTCTATCAAATTCTGGCACAGCAGAATGAAATAGTATAATTCTGCAGGCAATGATACAAACTCCTACTTACATGATAATTATGACCCTCGAGCTCTGTAAATATATGACTCAAACGAATTAATATAATTAATATCAATAAGAGAATAAGAACCAATCATATTACCTCTTGTTGAAATTCTGAGGGACCTTGCAAGCTATGAGAGTGAAGCATCTTTACAGCCACTTGAGTGTGATGAAGGAGACCCTTATAAATACTTCCATAACCCCCTTCCCCAATCTTCAAGGACGGGTCAAAATTGTTAGTTGCTTCTTCGATTTCAGAGAAAGAGAACTCTGAGAAAAGATTAGGCACAAGTGTGTTTGAAGCCTTTTCTGATTGTTTTTTCCTCATTTCCTCAGCAGCTTTGAGTGCGTTGTCACGATCCAACTGCAATTCATCTTGTTCCTTCTTATACTTTTGCAAGAGTTCCACAGCGGAGAACATCTTCTGTTCCAACTCCTGTACAATCTGGTCAGAGTTTGCAATTTGATTCTCCAAAGATGATTTCTGTTCCAGAGCAATACGGAATTCTTCCCTGACTTCATCTACCTGCTGCTTCATCTTTTCAAGTTCTTCTTTTTCCCTTTCTAATGTTTCCTCAATTTCTCTTCTCTGTTTCAATTCCTCAGTGTATGTTCCTTCTGATGTTTTAGCCTGCATATTGGCAATTTGTATAAAGATCACTGATGTTTTCAACACTCAGTCATGACATTACACATGTAAAACACGGGCTGTGTTTGGATCTAGGATTTGGGAAGGGAAAGGAAAAGGATTCCCTTCACATTTCCTTTCCCTCCACAAATCCCTCCCCAAATCCAAGATCCAAACAATCGTACTGTGATCAAGGGTGATGTGTACTCTCTCATGTGGTTCAACAGATCACCAAACCAGATTGTGAAATAAATACCCATTTTTTCAGAAGGAAGACCACATAAGCAATAGTCTTAATTAAAAAACCAAGTGGCCATTTCAAAGAAATTAATCACAAAAGAGCTCAATGCATTGTGCTCTTAGATTTTTTTCTGTCTTCCCATCCAGAAGATGGTCAAAAATCATATGAGAGTTGAACACAAAAAGTACATAATATGTTGACCATTCTAATATGCAAGAGGTAAACATCACATTTCTTTCACGTAATTTCTCCTAACTAGGACATCTATGGTAAGTAAGAAGAAAACCAAATCTTCATTGTGTATTCCACATCTGACCACCAGAAGAAAATAATAGAACGCATAGTAGCTAGAAGTTTACTCTGCGGAAAGCATCAATGGCATCCTTTTCAGCTTTCCTACGCCTCACTGACTCCTCAAAGGCTTGTCGTCTGGAATTTTCTTCCTCTGCCATAGCTTGCTTAAGCTGATCATATGGTCCGACATTCATACCTCCTTCGTGCTAAAGTCATGATATGAACCAGTCAGAACTTAGCAGAATTAAAATTTCAAAGGGTTGAGTCACTTGATTAATTTTCTGATGCTTGAGATTCAAGTCAAATGAGCTCATAACATCTAAAACACAGTTTACGGATATGCTAGCTGCATAATAAAAGCCTTCTACGTACCAGGACACTAGAAGGAGATGTGTGCCGATGATCATCCTTCAAATGATGCATGTCGTGTGACTCCATTTCACCCTCAGTTCTTGCAGGTAAGGTCAAAGCTGAATTGTCATCCATGTTACCAGCAGAACAGAACGAAAAATGCGAATTCAGAGAACTCCTAGGAATTCCATCCAATTCATTAATGTTCCCTTCTGTATTTAGCCTGTTGCGAGGAGTTACCCCTCCAGAGCCTTTTGAGGAGAAAGCTGAGACTGTCATCCCACGAACGTCGGACCTTACTCTACGATAGTCTGGATCTAAACTAATGAGCTTTTGTTGATCATTCTGCACTTCTGAAACAGACCGTGATCTCCAAGAACCAGATTGTCCAATCTCAGTGTTTGAACTCGCTTGTTGTGTCAGAAATGCGACCTCCACACTGACTCCCCCCAATCTAGCTTTCCTATTTAGATATGGAACATGCATTAGCAATTACAACAGTGAGAAAGAAATGATGGTTCAAGAATCATTAAATCAGTGACAAGGGAAGAATAGTAGTAGTAGGCAGAACTCAGAAGCGTTCTCTGCAATAATTGATTGAGGATGTTGTGATCATACGAAGGTGCTCCATGCAGAGGTTAAGAAGGCTTAAAAGCTTCTCCATGAAGTCGGATATCTTCTTATCTATCATATATTTTTTTTCTTAAACTAGATCCCCGGTAAAAATCACAGAATTTTAAAAACCAAAAACATTGGAACTGAGAGTGTCTTTACAAGACTGACTTTGTTTAGTTGAGTTGTAAAAACAAAAATGCGAACCATACCTTGTGTGGACGAGGTTCCCTTTACAGATAAACCAAATGTGACAAGAAATAGGAGCTTGTAAGCGCACATAGATGGCTTTCTTGGATTTTGGCTCCATCATTTTCCTGCAATGTTAAGGCTATCTATAAGGTCGCCAATTTTTGCATACAAGTGCAACACAAGATACTTAATGGCCTGTATGTAATACCCAATAAAAACATAAGTTTGGGAAGACTAAATAAGTGCACTTTTTGACTTTTTATGAAATATGGGTTGGATTTGGGTTGGGTTTGAAGTGATGTGTTAGAGAGGTGATGTGACTTAAATAAGATGATGTGACTTAAATAGGATAGTGACTTTTTAACTTTTTGTCTTTTTTCAATCATGCCAAACTTGGCCTGAACCACTGTGATTCATTTTATCACAGGCAATTCCCAACTCTCTTGTTCCAAGAATAGGGAGAACAGGGAAGAAGAAGACCCAAATGAATAGATCAACTAAATCAATCACCACCCCTTTAGTGAGCAGACCCAATTGTTTTGCTCTATGTGGACTTCTAAAAATGACACAGCTTGTCAGATGAGGAGCAAAGAACCATTTATCTATGTCACAGGAACAAACACTTGCAATATGAGAAGAATCATCCAGAGCCAGTATTCAGGGTAAGTGCTATGTTGACGAATATAACCCAAAGCAAGAAATGGGCAACAAAACCATTTGTAAAGAAGATGAAGATGAAAAAATAAATTAAATGTCTCTATGTGGTTTGTACTTTGAATAATGCTTGTGTGCCGCTGCTCCCATAACAAGCCTCCTGATCTGATGCTGAGATACGAGTTCCACAATCCCCTTCTCAACAGAGTCCCTTTCAATATGTAGTACATCTGTGCGTACCTAGATAAAATGTAAAGAATGCAAATATACAAAGAATGTTCAGCAAGTGCACTGATCATGGGACAAAGGAAGTCCTAAGTTTGAGTATCAAGTTAGTAGCTTGGAGCTATTTTCAAACATAAATCTGAAAGCTTCAAAATCCAACATAGATAACCATTGTAATTGGTTCTTATGGTAAAATCAGCTTCAATATTTCATAAATTGTCAAAAATAAAAAATAAAAACCAATTTGTTCTGGTGCATGATATCAAGTTCACGGAAGCATATAATTAAAAAAGGTTACATGTATTGAAAGAAAAGGAGAGAAACAATACCCCTGCTCGGTCACAGAACATCCTGTACTCGTGTAGAAGCTTGTTCATATCTTGCCTCTCAATTTCTCGGTATGCCCTGACTTGCCATTCTTCCACTTGGCTTACTGGAAACTTTGTACCCACTGCCAACCAAAAAGAAAATAAAAATAAAAATATTCATGTTTAAGTAGTGAACAAAAAACCATCTCTATAAAATAACAAATAAAATCCACAAAAAAAAAACAAAAAGCTGCAAACTGCACACAATGTAAGCGATATAAATAAAATGCACGATGGGGGAAAGAGAAAGTGGGGAGGAGAATCAAAAGAAAGGATCATTGGCAGAAAAATAAAAAAACAAGAAACAACTAAACGAATACACTCCTCCTGTTTGTTAAATAAACAGTCACTTTTTTGTAATAAAAGATTACGAGGAGAAAAAAATCTTATAAAAACTGCAACAAATTGTACTCGTTTTAAATACTGAAAAAAACACTTCAGAACCAATTTGCATTGACCAATCACAAATTTGAAGATGACCAGGGATCTAATATTGACAAAGAAATACAAGATGCTTTTAATATCCACTTTCTTTTATCAATAATAATATCCTCTTCTTTTCTTTTCTGTTTTTTGGCTCAGCTAGATTAACATCCATTTTTAACTAGTCCATGCTCACAACATCCTGGATGAACAAGAATCATGATTATGTGCTCATCCAAGAAAAAAAAGAGAGGTAATATATGTATATAGAAGATTATTTATGCTGTACAAGCATTGCAACTCAATTTTCAAACTAAAGCAGTCTACTGGCAGATAGTAACTCATCTAAGAGATTGAGATATCAGAATTTATCATGTAACACTTGAATGAAAACAATGATGGAGTGCATATTATCTCTTATTTAGATATTCTTCGGTCCGTGTAAACGTGGTGTAAAAGTGGAAAGAATGATCTCCATAAACTGCACTTGGCTTTACATAATAATTTATGTTAATTGTTAACATTTAATAAACCTACAAACAAATTTAATAGCAAGTCAAAGAGAAATCAGTATATAGAGGCAAAATCAAGAATTGGGTATAATTTGGCAAGACTTAAAATTGTTTAGGTGAATCGGAATTTGTTCCCATAGTAACCAAGAGACAAAACTATATCAAGTTTTCGAGTCAACGAAAATTCATGAACAAAGTAACACATATATATGGAGGAAAATGTAGCAAGAATTTACTCGAGGAGGGAATTCTCTTCGCAGGTTTGTGAACAAAAAGGATGCATATCTTCCTTCCTCCTGAGTTGTGCAGTGTCCATGACAGATTCGATTTGCCCTCATTCAGCTCCTTTCCCACCGCAACATATATTACATCTTCGACAGCTTGCACTGGTGGTTCTTCAACGATTTCACTCCCACTTGCCATCATTCCCGTGATTCCAATCTCAGGGCATCTTGTTGGATTGATCTGTTGTGGAATCACCGGCATAGGACTCACCACAGCCATTGAAATTCTTCAACTCCTCCCACTAACCAATTCCAATTCTCTCTCTCTCTCTCTCTCTCTCTCTCTGATAACTTCAAATTCACAGCTGAAATGAGTTCTATTCCCCCATATTTCTCTAACCCCTCTTCCTCTCTAAAAGAAGATTCTAAGAGAAATAGCTCTGAAACAAGAATCAATTCCAATGTCTTTCTCTCTCTAATCTCTGAAACTCTCTCTCTCTCTCTCTCTCTACAACGATAAGTTCAAGAGAAAAGACACCGTATCGAAATTCATATACAAACGCTCAAAGTCTCTCTCTCTTTCGTTCTCTATAACCCTGTTCCTGTCTCTAAAAAACGATTTTAAGAGAAATATCTCCGAAACAAACAATAATTTGAAAATTCCAATGTCTTCCTCTCGCTGGTCTCTGAATCTCTCTCTCTCTCTCTCTCTACAACGACAATTTCAGAGAAAACACTCTGAATCGAAATTCACACACACACACACACACGCACGCACGAGCACACACACACACATATATGCTCAAAGTGTCTGTTTCTCACTCTTCCTCTGCTCTTCTTCGATCAGAAACCCTACAGTTTCTGAAAATTCGAAGAGAAGATACTCTCACAATCCCTCAAATTTTCTGAACCAATTTCAAGAGAAAACAGTCTGAATCGAAATTCACCTATATATATATGCTCAGAATGTTTATTTTTCTCCCTTTGTCTGTTCTTCTTCGATCAGAAACAGAAACCCTACAGTTCCTGAAAACAGAAACCCTACAGTTCCTGAAAATTCGTAATCAATTTGAATCAATGTAAGCAACGAACCAAAAGGTCTGAGAAGTCTATCTGTAGGTATGATTATGCTGGAAAGAGATTGTTTGTCTTGAGCCTATATAGACATTGCACTAGAACAAGACTGCGATATATATATATTGAATTTCGTCAACTTACGTACAAACGTATAGTCATAGCGGATTCCATCACTCTCTCTCTTGATTTATTGATTCGCTTCGCTCTCTAGAGCTCTTCTTTTGATTGGCTTCTCTCTCTCTCTCTCTCTCTCCCTGTGATTTCTACAGTTGACCTTCCTTCAAGATGAAGCTTCTATGTGGTGGTGCCCTGTAGCAGCGGCCTCGTTTAGAAACATGCTCTTTTAATTAATTTTTTAATTTTTTTTACTAAAATATGAGATTAAAATAGGAAAATATTTAGCGGCGCTCGTGACTCGAATAGTTTGAATGTGTGAAAATAACGTCGTTTTATATTTAAAATAACATCTTTTTAAGTGTTATGAGTCATTCAAATTATATTTTTTTCGACCACCTAACATTATTAGTTAAAAAATTAAGAAAATTTATTTATAAATCGCATTTTAAGGAATGATAATTTATTTAATTTTAAGGATTTTTTTTTATAAATTAATTAGTTCTATTGATTTTAAAAAATAGATTTAATATATTATTTGAAAATTAAATTTACAGTGATACTCTTATTTTGTATTATGTTTTTTTCTTCTTTTTTTTTTTTGTGTTAGAATGGTAAGATATATAATTTATGATAATTAAATTTGGGATTAATTTTTACGTGAAAATCTTTTTCATTTAGAAAACATTACAAAAGGAATACAAAAATGACTTAAAACATGGAAGCTTTCAAACATTTCAAAAAAATGTGAGATTCTTCAAACATTTTAAAAAGAGTATAAAAATCCCTAAGTAAACTTTGGACAAATGTATAATTTCAAATTGGTACACTTCAATATAACTCTCAAACATAATATTCCAAAAAAAATTCTTAGTGTACTTTTCTCAAACGTAACATTCCAATATAACACTTCAAAAAAATTCCTAAATGTAACACTTCAATGTAACACAAAAAAAAAAAAAAAAAAAAAACTCCATGGTGTATTTTTTTCAAACATAACATTCCAATGTAACACTCCAAAAAACGGATGTGGGATTTTTCAAACTATTCCAAAAGGAGTACAAAAATTCTTTTGTAAGTTTTGAGCAAATGTATAATTTCAAATTGTGAGTGTTACGTTTAGAAAATGTCCATTAAGGAATTTTTTAGTATTCTTGTATGTGTTACATTGGATCTGTTGCGTTTATGATTATATTGATTAGAGTGTTACGTTTGGAAAAAGTACACTAAAGAGTTTTTTTTATGTATTACATTAGAGTATTATGTTTGAAAAAAAAATACACTAATGAATTTTTTAGAATGTTACGTTGTTACGTTTAGAAAAAATGCACCAAAGAGATTTTTAGTATATTATATTGGAGTGTTACATTATTGAAGCATTACATTAGAGTATTACATTTTTGTTTATAATGAATGGAGGAAAATTCAAAACCTCTATAGTGCGGATTGCCTAAATGTGTAATTTTATATTTGGAGAAACTCACTTTTATCCATAAAAAATTAAACCCACGCATGTAAGTAAATACCCGTTTGTGTAATTTTCACTTTAATGAGATCTTTAGGTTCATAAGAAAAAATAAAACAATTCACAAGATTACATTTTGAAATTTATTGATACTTTATCCAAAAATTAATATGCTTGAAATGACTTTTTGATTTTTTACGAAAAGATAAACAAAAAGTAGAGAAAAAAGAGAATTTTTGAATTTTTAATTTAAATTGTTGACTTCTTAATTTTTTTTAGTGATTATTTTATTTTTAAACTAAAATATTAAGTTGTCAAATGAAACTGAAACAGATTCGTTTTCATTATTATCACCTCCTTTCAATTGCTTAAATTCAATTTTTTTATTTTTTGTATTTTTTTTTAATTTTTAGTGAATTTTTTTAATATTTTAAATAATTTTTAAAATTTTTTAGTTATATTTAATACAAATATAATTAAAAAAATATAATATTTATGAATTTTTTTTACAAAATGCACTAAATACTAAAAATATATATATATATAAATTTAGTATAATATATATATATATATAAAAATTTAGTATATTTTGTATTTTTATATATTTATTGATATTTTTTTTATAAATATTTTACCTTTTAAGTACATCTAGATTGTATGCATTTAAAAGGTAAAAAAAATTACTTAAAATATTTTAAAAATCACTAAAAATTAAAAAAAAATACGAAAAATATAAAAACTCAATTTTAAAAAAATTATATTCAGGAAATTGAAACCAAATAAGGTGAATCACCTTCCAGTATTTTTTTTTAGTATTTTGTTTGTTGGCTAAATTACAATACATCCCTCTAAACTATGATTTATTTATTTGTACATCTTAAACTATTATCTTATTATACTTGACACCTTCTAGCAAAATTTTGTTTGGAATTTAAATAAAATCAGGTCATGTGTGAAGTATGTGATACATTTGTTGATTTTTAAAACAATAATACGCGTTATTGCTTTTCTTGGATAATAACACCCTCATAGAGTGATTTCATTTATACTTTGTCTCTTTTGTCTTAATGTGAGATCACTAAATAAGGATATTATTGTCAAAAAAAAGTTAATAAATATGTCATGTGCTCTACAAATTATCCAATTTTTGTGTAAATTTCTAACAAAATCCTAATATAATGGATTAACTATAACAACATAATATTTTGAGGTGGTTAACTATTGAATTTTTGAACTCATGGACAAAATATGAATGGGTCATTGTTTAAGGGAGTTTATTGTAATTTACCTTTATATTTTTTTTAATTTTTTTTTACTAGTTTGATAAAATAATGAAAAAATATATTTATTATTTTGCATATAGTTTCAAAGTGTGCTTTTTTATATTTATTTTCATTAAATTATTTATTTTAAATAATTCCAAAAAAAAACAACAAAATTATAGTGCTGTAATTTTTTTTAGAGTCTTACTATGGTGATGATGCCCACTAATTATCCTGTCTTTTAAAATTTTCATGTTGATGGTGTACCCAACTAAAAGCATGGATTTAAAAATTACATAGCGCTAAAAATAAGAAAATAGTAAAGAAATTATATAATGTTAGGATTAATTACTCAAAAATCTTATTTATAAGGTTGGTGCTCCATTAAATCCTCCTTCAGTATTTTTAGAGTTGTGTTATTTATCCTTACCTTTTTTCTTAGGACCTACATCTCTTTTATTTTTTTTTTTAATTCCAATTTCATCCAAACATGAAATTCCATTTTTATCTCATTCCTAACTTTCTAACCATAATTTCAAAAACCCTAACCCAAATTCTACCAACCATTTCCATCACCTCTACTCGTCGTCAACCATAGCTCTTGTACTCAGTATCAAGAGCTTCCTTGGCGTAAACAAAGGGCTCGGTGGATGAGGAGCAGTAGGGGCAACCAGAGTCAAAGTCGTCGTCGTCGGAGGTGATGGTGGTGATAGGATAACAGATTTTCAATAAGGGACAAAGGGGGCGGCTGTAAGTAAGGAATATATCGTACCCGCCGCCGTAAGGAGTGGGATCATACTCGTGGAAGTCATCGACGTTGTCGTCGCAAGGATAGTACGACATCGTCTCTTCTCTCTATATGTATTGTTTTTTGTCTGTTATGCTGTGATGAGTTTTGATAATAGAGGGAGTCACAATCTTGATCGTGACGCGAGAGAGAAAATGCGAGAGCGATCGATGAAGTAGGGGTGGTGGTGGTTGGGGATGGGAATGGGTTGAGAGGTAGCAGTACGAAGGATAAGGGATAGAGAGAGGTTGAAGAAGGACGGGCAATAGCGATAATGAAGGTAGAGGTCGCTGGAAGAAAGGTTACCGATGATAAAGAGCTGCCGGTAGTAAGAGGGGTTGCCAGAAGAAGAAAAGTTGGGGGTCTAAAGAATAAGGGTATAGTTGGTATTAAGGTGGGTATTCAAAGAGAATATGGGAGTGATTTGATTAGATAAGTGGCAGTTCAAAAAAGTGAGGGTCCAAAGTAAAAAAGCAGGGACATTTAACAGCACTCTATATTTAATCAATAAGGTCCAATGTTCAAAATATCTATGTATATATGATTGTTTTACCTTTATTATAATGTGGAAGTAATTGAAAAAAGCCAATTCAATAAGTGCTAATAAAAAATTATTAGGTGCTCCAACTACACTATATGACAATATCATCCACCAATCACCAAGAATTATGTTTCATGCCCTTACATAAAATTGTACGTCTCACCATCTCCACCAATTACAAATCTCCTAGTAACCGCCTGACCGTGCCCCAAAAGCATTGGATAATTTTTCATAGTTCAAGTGGACACTACTAATATGACATTTACTTTTGTTTTGTTCTTTTAATACTTAAAAATTTTATAATTTCTATTATATACATTTATTTTTAATAAAAATTATATTTTTGGGATCTACACAATGAGATCTATTAAATAAGACCAATATTAAATATAAAATTTTATAAAAATAAAATATTATTTTTTAGTTATATGAAATTAACAATTTATCTTTTTGCAAAACTATATAGTCAAATTGAGAAATTTCTCAATTTTTTTTAGTATTAACTGAGAATATTATCAATTTTTCAGTTTTATCCAATGTTAAAACTAAGGATATCATCAAATTTTCAATTTTAAACTGATAATATTCTTAGTTTTAAAATTGAAAAAGAAAACTAAAAATTTTATCAATTTTACATAGAAATGTTCCATATAAGTGTTTCGTCAACTAAGAAATTTTTCAGTTTTCTTAGTTCCATAATTGAGATATTTATCAATTTGTTTATGTGTGAAAGAATTACTTTATTTGCTTAAAATTTTAATTTATGATTAGAAATTAAGAAAAATTGTAAATTGACTTATTTTCCAATTTTTTAAACTAAGAAATTTCTTCAAACTGAAACATTTTTCAAATATTAAAAATCATATATTATAGATAAATTTCATAGTTGCAATCTAATTTTTGAATTTTAGAATGAAATTTATAGTTTTTTTAGTGTAATTTCCTCATTTCAAGTATGATTTTTTTTTTTCAATTTTATATGAAATTTTCTCTTAATTAAATCAACCAAATCCATATATTTTATAAGAAAAATTAGATCAAGTAAATATTGTTAGTTAAATAAGTTAAGAAAACTTACTATTAAAAATGGTTTACATTGCTAATTTATAACGAACAATATATTTTTATTTTTA